CGGCCTTTTCCTTGCTGTCCCAGGAATCCTCAGTTCACCGAGGGAAGCGGAGCTTCTCTTGACACCACGGCTCCTGTCTTATTCTGCTCGTGCTGCTGTAACAAACACCTCGGGTGGGGTGATCTCTGGGCAGACCTCCCTGGCTGCAGCTCTGGAGGCTGGGAAGTCCCATCCTGAGGCACTGGTGGGTCTGGCGATTCTGATGGTGCCTGCGCTCTGCATTCCCCCATGGCAGGAGGTGGAAGGGAGGGCGTGACCCACCCCCCAGAGCCTGTTGTACAGTGACATTAATCTGGTCACCGGAGCCCCTCATTAGGCCCCATCTCCCAGCACTGACCCTGGGGACAGTGCTGTGCTGTGGCATCCCCGCTGGCATCCCGCCTGCAGCCTAATCCCAGGGAAGTCTGACCCGACTCTTCAACACGAGTTCTGGGGGACACGGTCGCATCATAACAACTAGGAACCTTAATTTCTCAAAAAGTCTTACTGTGCCCCAGAAGAGAAAACAAATGTTCTCTCATCTTGTGTTGGTACAGAAGTCGATCGCCCCAATTTCTCTTATAACTGCTGCCCCAAGGATGCAGGAGGCATTCGCAGACTTTTGACCAGAATCCTGGAGACAGCTGCCCGTCCTCAGGAGGCGCGTCCCTGGCTGCTGCTGTGGCAGAGAGCCCTCCCTTCCCTGACAGCTGCACACCACCTGGGCTCTCTGGGGTCTGCTGGCAGCCCCTTGGTGGTGGCCAGGGGCTGGGAAGAACTTTCATGCCAATCTCTTGCTACCTAGTTGAGTAGGGAGGAGGCAGCCAGCAAGATGGGATCCTGGGCTGGCCACAGTCAGGTGACCCAAACATGAGAGCTGCCCACAGTTCCAGGCTGCAGGTGGGATGTTGGCAGGGAGACCACTGCAGCCAAGGCCCTCCCAGGCTTCCCCACGCCACGCTTCCCAGGGAGCTCCCCCGTGCCTGTCAGTTAGCCCCGGAGTATACTGATGCTTCTTATCTGGCAGGGGAGGTAGACAGCAAAGCCTGCACTTCTGCACATCCCCTCTGCTAGACTGGATTGAAAGTGATGTCACTGTATAACTTTGAATTAAAGATTACGCGCTGTGTGGGTGAGGCGACCTTAACTTGAACATGTTAATGATGTTTCTATTTTTAAGTCGGTACCCAGGATGTTAGTTTAACACAGGTTTTGCCCTTTAATTGTAAAGGATTTGAGGTTGCCAGCTACTTGGTGACAGTGGCACTAACGGGGTAGGTACTGACGCATTGTTCAAGAGGAAACTGAATTACGAGGTGTTTCATACCTAAAGCCTCATGTTTCCCCCCTCGGTTGTCTACATGGAAGCGCAGGGCTCATTTTTCTTGCCTGCCTACCTGTCATCCATCTCTACAAAATATTTGTTGATTAAATGAGAAAGATGGGTGGGCCTGGGCTCATTGTGGCACCTGATCTAGCACCTGGTGGGTGCTCAGTGCCTAGCTCTGGTGGGGGAATCGATAAATCCAACAGGTGGGTCCACATGGGAGCTAATCCTATAACCCAGGACGCTGCCGCCATGCTCAGTCTGCTACCAAATAGACGCTTTCATTGGCCACATTAAATGTTAGGTTTTCCAAATTGCAGGACTTCGCCCCAAACTTAATTTCCACAAGGAATAAGATGAGAAAGACAAAGGGTATATCTAACAGAAAGAAATAGTTCTCTTGAGTTTACAATTTGGTTTTCTCTTCTTTTAAATTGATTTACAGTTGTATATAAATAAATTTATGTTTATATAAATAGGGGTTTCTGGACACTGGAACTTCATGATGCTGAGTGTGGGGAGGGCAGGAAGCAGATGCTTCATGTTATCCCCAAGGAATGAAGAGCTCTGGGAATACGTCACAGTATATGCATCCTGATGAGAAGGCTCTGCCAGGTGGAAGCCGGTTTTTTGTAGGATATATTTACTCCTGTTAGCAGCCCATGCTCAGGATGTGGGTGGAATGTAAGTGGGGCTATGTAGGCATCTCTCTCCAGGACAGGATGCCTGTTTAAATCAGCTTTGTAAGTAAGCATTCGGATCTTACCAGCTTACACCCTTTTTATAGCTAATCTTCCATCCTTCCAGAATGTACTTTTTCCTTATTTATTTCTCCTCTAGAAAGAACACTCAGGCCTGCTCCTTTTGCAGGAATGCAGGTTCTGGTGAAGTTTAGACTCTTGGAACTGGGTCGGCAGCCATGGGCACTGTGGAGTTTGTCTCTCCCCGTGCCTTGTCAGTCTCCAGGACAGCTCTGGCACATTGCTGGTCACCACAGGGCCTCTGCATATGCCTCTGTGAAATTTGGGTGGTGGACTGTCCTGAAATTTTCTGTCTTGGCAGATATCAGAAATTGTCCAGAGCGGCCTCTTGGGTCCCAAGAGTTGGTTCCTGTGGCCAACCTGCCCAAGATCATGCCTTAGAGGAGCCCAGCAAATCTCCCTGAAGCTGAGGGCAATGAAGATGTTAGGGGAGCCTCGTGGGTTGTAGCTCAGCCTTTGTCCTAGGTGTGCTGGGTTCTGACAGGAACGGTCTCAAATCTGTTCCCAGGTAAATGCCCCACCTTTTCTCCTGCTTGCTTGAAGCATGCGGTTTCAGAACCTGAATGAGTGTCTCTCTCTGTAAGAAACAGTGGCTCAGGGAGTTTCCTACATTTTAGTTTCAAAGTTTTGTGCATAAACTCGATGAATGACTCAGAATTTGCCTGGCACCTGCTGTGACATCTCCCGTGCTATTTTCACTAGCGTCCATCTGGCACCGCAGGCTCCCAAGCTCCTTATGCCCTCGCCATGCCTGACTCTTCATGGGGCTCAAGGTCTGGCTCCCCTTGGTATCTCCAGCCTTTGGTGCCTGCTGGTGACATAGTGGGTGCCACAGCAATCTCCATCAGGAATGAATGCGTGTGTGGACTGTGCCATGGTTCCTGGGCTTGGTGAGCTCTTTGGAAATGCCAAGCTCCTTGTTTGTAAGGTAAAGGCAGCCATATCGCAGGTCAGGTTCCATAACCTAGGTGATGTGCTTTGCACCGGCTGACGTGGCAGTCTCCTGCTTTCCTCAGATTCCCTGTGGAGACAGGTAGCTCCTTTTCTGTGTCACTTAATAGGTGACAAAGAGGAGACCCATGGCATCTGCCTCCTCAAACTCTCTGCCTCCACTCACTTTCTTGCTATTCCTCTAGTCTGTGTCCACTTGGATCCTGTCCCATGTACCTGCAGCATTTCTGTGACTTTCCCATCTGTCCGTCTGCAAGATCTTGCCGTCCCGGGCTGCCTCCCCTCCCTGCCCCAATCTCTGCTGCAGCCACACTCACGCTCCTGGTCCTGCCTGCTCTCCGCTGTCCATCTTCACCCAGCTGTGTCCACCCCTAGAGCCCCTGTCCCCTGTCTTAAAGTCATCTTCCCCTTTAAGACAGATCCCCCAGATTTAAAGATTTCATTCAGGAGTCCCCTTTTGGTGATGTCTTCTAAGGCCCAGGGAGAAGGACTCTCTTGCCCAGCATCCCCACTCATCCCTGTTCAGACTGCTAATGTCATCTGTGATGCTCTGTCATGCTCATGCCCCTCCCCCCTGCCCCCACCAGCCACCTCTCCCAGAAGCAGACTTGAGGACTGTCTGTCTGACTTTTGTATCCCCAGCACCTGCTTCAGTGCCTAGAGAAACAGGTAGTGCTCAAGAAGTGTGGCTTGAATGGATGGATGGATAGAAAGATGCATTTGTGCTGATCCCACGGGAAGGAGGACTGTTTTCCTCCTGGGAAGGCTCTAGTTGGTCTCCCATGAGAGCATGGTGACTGCAGTAGAGGCGCGCTGGCTGGTCACTTTGGAGGGCCTTGGTTACCCGCTTCAGTCGGCTTGCCTCCGCAGTGTGGCATCGAGGCCAGGACCGCTCAGCCTTTGTGATGAGCTCTGCCTTATCTAGACTAACTTAGCTCTACCCTAACATCACTCAAGTGTGACTCGGATTATCTGGTCTTTTTATGGGTGGGATCAGGGTGTTGGAAGAGGCAAAGGGAAGAAGAAATTGGAGCTGCAGAACTGTGTAGCTCATTAAGATGCGTTCTGGACACGCCCACCCCCATCTTATAAGTAAGTGCCTGTAGAGTGACGGTAATGTCAGTGCGGATAGGGCAGTATCACCCCTACCCATCTGTTGTCCACCTCCTAGGGCTCTCAGGCCTTCTTAACGTCTTCCAGAGACCACACTGCCTGCCTCAGGCATGCTGGACACTTTCTTTGCAAGTTTGCCCATGTCTTTTGGGCTCCAGCAACTGGTTGGCTTCCTGCTTAGCTGCCTGGAATCAGAAGCCTTCCGGTTTCCCCTAGGTGATGGCACTGCCTGTCAAATGCCAGCACTGGAAGGAAAGCCTCTGCTGTGTTGTGTAGAGGCCGGTCTTTCCACCTCTGTTGAATTCGTTAACTCGAGAACAGAGGAGAGGTGGGTGTGTGTAGCTGTAGCCTGGGAAGCCGTGTGCTCGACCTACTGCTAATTATCCCTTTACCTTTCCTCTAGACGTTAACAGGATATGGTCTAATATTTTCAATTTAGGGTGAAATCATGGTTGATGCCTGAAAAAAATTATTCTTTCAGGTGAGCAAGAAATGGATTGCAATGTGCCTATGATATTACACTTTTAGTTTTCTAAGAGATTTCTGGTAATTTTGCCCTCACTTAGCCAAAAATAGAGGCATACCAACAGAGGCCACTGCTGATGGATTCTTTATCCAAATAAATTGTGTAAGATCAGAGCGTTTGCACAGCAATGGGAAGAGTGATGGGGCACCTTTGACCAAGACAGGCAGAAGATGCTGCTTCCTCAGTGAGAGGCCAGCTGTGTGCGTGCTCAGACCTCAGGGTTGTGAAGGACTGCTGCCAGCGTCCCTCTAGGATGCGGGCAGGGTTCTTTCTCTGAGCTAGTCTACTCTGTCTGGCTGCAGGTGGCCAAAGTCATGTATGTCTTTGTCACTTTCCCCTGCAGATTTCAGCAATGTTCCCGACATCCCCACGGGCCTGAAGAGGAGTCAGACAGATGGCACCCTGGACCAGGCGTCCCACAGGGAGAAGATGGAGCAGACGTTCAGGGTAAGCTGCCCCAGTCACAAACCGAGAGCCAGGCAGGCCTGCGGTGAACGGCCACCTCCACCTGAGATGGGAAAAGGCGAGGTAGACTCATCCTGTCCCTGGTACAAACGTTTTTTTTTCCCTTAAAGAATATATTTTCTTTTTATTTTTTTAAGTTTAAGTACAAATGGGAGCCCTTATCTTTAAACAGAACTTTGGCATGATATTGAAGGGAGCAGCGAATGGTACCATCCCTACATTATGATGGTTTTGCTTAGCTATTTTGACAAGGAAGTCCTAAACTCGGGTGTCCCGAAAGCCATGTTAAATTACTATTCTGTTCCTTTCTACATTTCCCCCCCCCCCCGCACCCCCCTCATCTCTCCCCCACCCACCTTGGTGGGAGGGTCAAAGGTAAGCCATTTTTGGAATGCTTTCGTGTTGTTGTTTTGATAAAAACTACATAAAATGAAATGTGTCACTGTCACCATTTTCAAGCATACACTTCAGTGGCCTTCAGCATATTCAGTTTTACAACATCTTCATCATCCATCTCTTAATCTGCACAGAAATTCTGCCCAATAGCGAGTCGATCGCCATCCTCTCTTACCCCGCCCCCTTGGTAACCTCTGTCATACCTTCTCTCATTTGCCAATTCTAGGTACCTCATAGATTAGTGGAATGATGTGATGATATTTGTCCTTTTTCCTGATATTTATTTCACTGCATCTGAGTTCACCCATGTTTTAGCCTGTGTCAGATTTTCATTCCTATGAAGACTGAATAATATCCCACTGCTTGTATAGCTCACATTTTGTTTGCCCACTCATCTCTTGATAGGTGCCTGGGTTGGTGCTGTCATTTGGTTATCGGTGAGCAAGGCTGTGGCGAATGGTGGTGCATAAACGTCTGCTGAAATGCTTGTTTTCCATTATTTCGGTCATACACCCAGAAGTGGAATTGCTTGATTGGAGGCCATTCTGCTGAGCTCTGAGGAATAGCCCCGCTGGTCCCCACAGCTCTGCCCCCTCTTACCACCCCACCAGCCACTTACCAGGGGTCCAGTTTATTCAATGTCCCCAGTGGCTCTTGTTACAGTCCCTTCTTTTCCTGCAGGTTTAACTGTTTGTAGTTGGCTACCTTCAAAAGGGGTCTGACATGATGTATCTTAAAATCCAGTCTTGATTTTGAAATTATAACTGTTTTGTATTAGTTGCTTTTCTCTTAAATACGAAATATGAATGGAGGAAATATGAGCAGCAATAGGTATGCTAGTTGGCTTCGCATCACTGACCAAAATACCTGACCAGAACAATTTAGGAGGAGGAAAAGTTTATTTTGGCACACAGATTCAGATGTGTAGACCAAGGTGAGGCAGAACATCGTGGGGGAAGGGTGTGGTGGAGGAGACCCACCACACCATTCATGGTGGCCAGGAAGCAGAAAGAGGGAGGGAAAGGGGGCTGGCCACAGGGAAAGTGAACCCTTCCATCCCACACCCCCCAGTGACCCACCTCCTCCAGCCACGCCCCACCTGCCTGCAGTTACCACCAGTCAGTCCACTCAAACTAGGATGAACCGCCTCACCTCTGAACATTCCTGCATCAACATCTAAACCATAACAGCAGGAATTTAAATAAAAGCTAAAGTGGGACTGCATGCCATTCGGGTTTAGGCCAACTCCAGGTGCCAGCCCCTTGGTAGCAGTCTCCACATGGTTGAGCCATGTGGCACGCCCTTTAATGATGTCCACTATGAAGGGCACATCAGGTGAGAGCCTGCACCTTCAGAGTGGTCACTCCCTGGTGTCCAGCCTCCCACCTCCTCCCTTCCCTTCCCCTTTCCTCCATTCCCTGCCTGCCTCCTGCCATAGCTCTCTACCCTTCCCTGCCAATTCCTCAGGGTCTGCTCATGGCCCCAGGATGAACAATTTCTTCTCCTAAACTGAAGTCCATCAGCATTTTTAGTATTATTCCTGTTCTATCTCTGGTGGGTTATTTGCTTTTAGAAACAATATTATAGCAAATATTCATCAGTATTTTTTTATGAAGCAGTTGCTCCTAGAGCATGAAATAGATAAGTTTCTTTGCCTTATTATTATTATTTTTTAAGAAAGCAAACATTCCTGAAACACTCATGAAGTGAGGTGCTCTATTTAAAGCAAGTGTGCCCAGGAGGCACAGGCACAGCATGGCAGTTGGGGGAAATCACTTAGCGCCATCAAGGATAATGATTTTCTCTCTGTGATAATCTGCTTGAGTTACACATTGAAGTTCTTAAGAAGGAAATTAATTCCCCACCCCAAATTTGTTGTATTTTAAGATTCAATAAAATAGATATGTGGAAAGTGAGCATGTCAAGGCTATTTCCAACTATTCAATGACAGTGGTTGCGGAAGATATAGCAGTTATAAAGTCAACCTGGGAGCATCAGTTAGGAATTTAGAAGAGCAGTGAAAGCTGTGGTCAGGTTGGAATTGGGGTGATCTGAGCTCTCCATTGTTACTCATGGTGAAGGGAGAATGCAAATACATGCATTCATGCATACCTTTATACCTATGAAAGAACACAGGAGAGAGAACCTATTGAAGGAGAATACCAGTTAACTATCCCCTATCCAGAATTCCAGACACCAAAAGAATTTGGATTTCAGACTTATTTCAAATTTTAAATATTTGCACTATATGTTTGAGGCATCTTGGGGCTGGGACCCAGTTCCAAACGTGAAATTCTTCTGTTTCATATGCACCTTATACACAGTTGCTGGAGGTGATTTTATGCCCTGTTTTTAGGGTGCTTATGTTTTGACTGCACCCCCCACATGAAATCATTTGTGTGATTTTCCACTCGGGGTATCATGTCGGGTGCACAAAACATTTTGGATTTTGTAGCATTTTTGATGTTAGATTTTTGGATTGGGAACACTCAGCCTGTGTGAATAGGTTAATCATTTGCTGCAAAATTCCTCTCAAGTGTATGGTAATCACCTTCCTGAATTTTCAAATATTAACATACTTAGGGAAATGCTGAGTGGTTGATGTGTTCCTTGTTTCTTGGGGAAAAAGAATCAAATGGCACCAATAATAATAATTGAGATGGATATAATGAAAAGTATGTTTCAAATTTAATGATAAAATATGTTCTTCTACACCTTTCTAACCTCCTAGAAACATTGTTGTGTCTGAAAGCAGTCGTCTTCTGTTTAAAATGGTGGCTGGGATTTGTCTTGATGCCCAATGTCAGGAGGCCCCCAGGCACTGTCCTCTATAAGGTGCCCGCAGGACAGGGTCGCTCTTAAGGAGAAGTCCTGCCCCTGCTCCCTGGTTCTTCTCGGGGTCATTAACTTCTTTTCAGATTAGACTCTGGTTGAACCTGGGCCATTTGGGATATTTTACTAACAAGTATTCTAGACTCGATAATAAGGAATAATTTCCATTGAAAATCAAACGAAGCCTGGCTTGATGAAGCACAGCTGTAACCGGGGCTTTTGACAGCCCGGCAATTTCTGCAAATGGTTCATAATTGATTGCCTTCTCTCTCCTTAAGAGTGCCTATTACTGTCACCGCTCTTTGTGTGACCCTGTCAGCCTCTCCTGGGTGGGGGATCTCCCCCCCCCCAGTATTGTTAGCAATTAGCATGTGCAATTGTAATAGTTGGGAGTTTGAAAGGAATAAACAACTTTTCTTCAGGCGAGGGGGTTGAAAGAGTTTGGGGTTTGTCGTGGGAATTCAAGGTGTGTGAAGCGGTCCCCCCACGGACTTGGCGCTGGCTCTGAAGACGTAGCACTTGGTGGCTCTGCCGTCTCCACGTCTGCCATAACCTGGTACCTCTCCAGGCAGGCAGGCTCACAGAGTGGGGTGGGCATCTAGAGGAAGAGGGTGAGCCTTCCCCAGTCACTGCTTTGGCTGCTTTGGAGGAAGAGGGCGGTGGTGCTAGGATGTCCTCGTGGATGTGACTGGGAGGAACAGTTTGGGATTTTTTTCATTTCATTGCCTGGGGATGAGAGTGGGAGAGGACGTGCCTCACACGTCTCCCTGCAGCCGACTTGGATGTGATCCTTTCTCTCAGAGGGAGCAGTTTCCTTTGAACTTCTCTCTTTTATGTACAGCATGTAAGTAAAGGAGGGTGTGGATTTTCTTGGGTGTAGATTCTGATCCAAATGTGGGCATGCTTAAATGATTTTCTTCGTTGAAAGTTGATTTTACTCGAAAAATGTCTCAGGCTATTATGCAGATGAGAAGATACTGTTTTCCTTCCACAAGGTATTCCGGCAGTAATCTCTGAGCTCTCTCGATGGCTGAGGGTACGAGAACTTTCTTTGTACACTAGTTCTGTGGCATGGTCAACTTTTCCCCTTCTCAGGTCTTTGAATTGATCTCAGAAATTGTTTTGTCAGAGACAGATTATCAGAAAAGACTAGGAACATATTTACTCTGTATAATGTGTTTGAAAAGAGAGAAAGGAAGAATTCACTTACAGCAAATAATTTTCTGCTTGTAAAATCTGGGAGCATAGCCCACACTTGCACTGGGCGTAATGCTGTGAAAGAAAATCCGCAAAGATGAAGCCCGTTTTCTACAAGGTAAGCAGAGTTTTTCATTTAGTTCTTCCCGATTAAATAATTTTGCAGCTTTTTAGAAGAATTTTATGTAATCACCTCGTGTAGCTTTGGCAGTGATTATTTTTGCAGTTTGTAGGCGGTGTGTTGATAGAACAGAGCATTGAGAATCTGGAGATATACAGCATGACAACCGTGTGTTGTGCTCTTTGCAAGTTAATCATGTTTAAGTTATATTTTGTCCTGTTTATTTTTTCAAGGTAGAAGAAAAGAATGCACGCTAATGGTTAGGTTTTTTGTACACAGTGTGAACATAACTTGCATTTAATATTTAACTCCTGCCCACCCACTTAGCCCAACCTTTTCAGGCTTTTACATGAATTACTTGGAAGGGCTTGCATATATAAGAAGCTAAAAGAATAGGAAAAGATCATTGGACTACATGGTTAGTTTTCCAGCACTT